CAGACAATATACAGTAACAGTCACCTTACAGGCAATACAATGGCAGTAAATTCCTATCTTTCAATAGTTACCCTGAATGTAAATGGGCTAAATGCCCCAATCAAAAGACACAGGATAAAAAAACAAGATCCATCGATATGCTGTCTGCAAGAGACTCATTTTAGACCCAAAGACACCCCCAGATTGAAAGTGAGGGGGTGGAAAACCATTTACCATGCTAATGGACACCAAAAGAAAGCTGGGGTGGCAATCCTTATATCAGACAAATTAGATTTTAAACCAAAGACTGTAATAAGAGATGAGGAAGGACATTATATCCTACTTAAAGGATCTATCCAACAAGAAGATCTAACAATTGTAAATATCTATGCCCCTAACAGAGGAGCAGCCAATTATATAAGGCAATTAATAACAAAAGCAAAGAAACACATCAACAACAATACAATAATAGTGGGGGACTTTAACACCCCCCTCACTGAAATGGACAGATCGTCTAAGCAAAAGATCAACAAGGAAATAAAGACTTTAAATGACACACTGCACCAAATGGACTTCACAGACATATTCAGAACATTCCACCCCAAAGCAACGGAATACACATTCTTCTCTAGTGCCCATGGAACATTCTCCAGAATACATCACATCCTAGGTCATAAATCAGGTCTCAACCGGTACCAAAAGATTGGGATCATTCCCTGCCTATTTTCAGACCACAATGCTTTGAAACTAGAACTCAATCACAAGAGGAAAGTCAGAAAGAACTCAAATACATGGAGGCTAAAGAGCATCCTACTGAAGAATGAATGGGTCAACCAGGAAATTAAAGAAGAATTAAAAAAATACATGGAAACCAATGAAAATGAAAACACAACTATTCAAAATCTTTGGGATGCAGCAAAGGCAGTCCTAAGAGGAAAGTATATAGCAATACAAGCCTTTCTCAAGAAACAAGAAAGGTCTCAAGTACACAACCTAACCCTACACCTAAAGGAGCTGGAGAAAGAACAGCAAATAAAGCCTAAACCCAGCAGGAGAAGAGAAATCATAAAGATCAGAGCCGAAATCAATGAAATAGAAACTAAAAGAACAGTAGAACAGATCAACGAAACTAGGAGCTGGTTCTTTGAAAGAATTAACAAGATTGATAAACCCCTGGCCAGACTTATCAAAAAGAGAAGAGAAATGACCCAAATCAACAAAATCATGAATGAAAGAGGAGAGATCACAACCAACACCAAAGAAATACAAACAATTATAAGAACATATTATGAGCAACTCTATGCCAGCAAATTAGATAACCTGGAAGAAATGGAGGCATTCCTAGAGATGTATCAACTACCAAAACTGAACCAGGATGAAAGAGAAAACCTGAACAGTCCTATAACCACTAAGGAAATTGAAGCAGTCATCAAAAATCTCCCAAAAAACAAAAGCCCAGGGCCAGATGGCTTCCCAGGGGAATTCTACCAAACATTTCAAGAAGAATTAATACCTATTCTTCTGAAACTGTTCCAAAAAATAGAAATGGAAGGAAAACTTCCAAACTCATTTTATGAGGCCAGCATTACCTTGATCCCAAAACCAGACAAAGACCCCATCAAAAAGGAGAATTACAGACCAATATCCCTGATGAACATGGATGCAAAAATTCTCACCAAAATACTAGCCAATAGGATCCAACAGTACATTAAAAGGATTATTCACCATGACCAAGTGGGATTTATCCCTGGGCTGCAAGGTTGGTTCAACATCTGCAAATCAATCAATGTGATACAATACATTAACAAAAGAAAGAACAAGAGTCATATGATCCTCTCAATAGATGCAGAAAAAGCATTTGACAAAGTACAGCATCCTTTCTTGATCAAAACTCTTCAGAGTATAGGGATCGAGGGTACATACCTCAATATCATAAAAGCCATCTACAGCGAATATCATTCTCAATGGGGAAAAACTGAGAGCTTTCCCCCTAAGGTCAGGAACGCAGCAGGGATGTCCACTATCACCACTGCTATTCAACATAGTATTGGAAGTCCTAGCCACAGCAATCAGACAACAAAAAGAAATCAAAGGCATCCAAATTGGCAAAGAAGAAGTCAAACTCTCACTCTTTGCAGATGATATGATACTTTATGTGGAAAACCCAAAAGACTCCACCCCAAAACTGCTAGCACTCATACAGGAATTCAGTAAAGTGGCAGGATATAAAATCAATGCACAGAAGTCAGTGGCATTCCTATACACCAACAACAAGACAGAAGAAAGAGAAATTAAGGAGTCGATCCCATTTACAATTGCACCCAAAACCATAAGATACCTAGGAATAAATCTAACCAAAGAGACGAAGGATCTGGACTCAGAAAACTATAAAACACTCATGAAAGAAATTGAGGAAGACACAAAGAAATGGAAAAACGTTCCATGCTCATGGATTGGAAGAACAAATATTGTGAAGATGTCAATGCTACCTAGAGCAATCTACACATTCAATGCAATCCCCATCAAAATACCATCCACTTTTTTCAAAGAAATGGAACAAATAATCCTAAAATTTGTATGGAACCAGAAAAGACCCCGCATAGCCAGAGGAATGTTGAAAAAGAAAAGCAAAGCTGGCGGCATCACAATTCCGGACTTCCAGCTCTATTACAAAGCTGTCATCATCAAGACAGCATGGTACTGGCACAAAAACAGACACATAGATCAATGGAACAGAATAGAGAGCCCAGAAATGGACCCTCAACTCTATGGTCAACTCATCTTTGACAAAGCAGGAAAGAATGTTCAATGGAACAAAGACAGTCTCTTCAACAAATGGTGTTGGGAAAATTGGATAGCCACATGCAGAAGAATGAAACTGGACCATTTCCTTACACCACACACAAAAATAGACTCAAAGTGGTTGAAAGATCTCAATGTGAGACAGGAGTCCATCAAAATCCTAAAGGAGAACACAGGCAGCAACCTCTTTGACCTCAGCCGAAGCAACTTCTTCCTAGAAACATCGCCAAAGGCAAGGGAAGCAAGGGCAAAAATGAACTCTTGGGACTTCATCAAGATAAAAAGCTTTTGCAAAGCAAAAGAAACAGTCAACAAAACCAAAAGACAACCGACAGAATGGGAGAAGATATTTGCAAATGACATATCAGATAAAGGGCTAGTATCCAAAATCTATAAAGAACTCATCAAACTCAACACCCAAAGAACAAAGAATCCAATCAAGAAATGGGCAGAAGACATGAACAGACATTTTTCCAAAGAAGATATCCAAATGGCCAACAGACACATGAAAAAGTGCTCAATATCGCTTGGCATCAGGGAAATCCAAATCAAAACCTCAATGAGATACCACCTCACACCAGTCAGAATGGCTAAAATTAACAAGTCAGGAAACGACAGATGCTGGCGGGGATGCGGAGAAAGGGGAACCCTCCTACACTGTTGGTGGGAATGCAAGCTGGTGCAGCCACTCTGGAAAACTGTATGGAGGTTCCTCAAAAAGTTGAAAATAGAGCTACTATATGATCCAGCAATTGCACTACTGGGTATTTACCCCAAAGATACAAAAGTAGGGATCCGAAGGGGTACGTGCACCCCAATGTTTATAGCAGCAATGTCCACAATAGCCAAACTGTGGAAAGAGCCAAGATGTCCATCGACAGATGAATGGCTAAAGAAGAGGTGGTATATATATATACAATGGAATATTATGCAGCCATTAAATGGAATGAGATCTTGCCATTTGCAACGACGTGGATGGAACTGGAGGGTATTATGTTGAATGAAATAAGTCAAACAGAGAAAGACAGGTATCATATGATCTCACTGATATGAGGAATTCTTAATTGTAGGAAACAAACTGAGGGTTGCTGGAGTGGGGGGTGGGGTGGGAGGGATGGGGTGACTGGGTGATAGACACTGGGGAGGGTATGTGCTCTGGTAAGCGCTGTGAATTGTGCAAGACTGTTGAATCTCAGATCTGTACCTCTGAAACAAATAATGCAATATATGTTAAGAAAAAAAAAAGAAGAAGAAGAAGGTAGCGGGAGGGGAAGAATGAAGTGGGGGAAATCGCAGAGGTAGACGAACCATGAGAGACGATGGACTCTGAAAAACAAACAGGGTTCTAGAGGGGAGGGGAGTGGGAGGATGGGTTAGCCTGGTGGTGGGTATGGAGGAGGGCACATTCTGCATGGAGCACTCGGTGTTATGCACAAACAATGAATCATGGAACACTTCATCTAAAACTAATGATGTAATGTATGGGGATTAACATAAGAACAAAAAAAAAAAGCACATCAATTCATCAAAAGACATCATTAAGAATATAAAATTCAAGCCAAAGTTCCAACATGTAAAGAACTTGGAAGTCATCATCTTCATCCTTCAACAAACAAATGTGAACAAACTGAATATAAACAAATTTGCATAATCCATTGGAGAAATCTGGGGAAACAGGTACATGCAGAGTAATATGGCAACTGAGGTCAGCTTACTTAGATCAGAAGTCACCAAAGCCACAAACTTGTAGGACCACTTAAATGGTGATTTGGACAAACTGATGTAGAGTATGAGAAAACAATCTAAGTGTATTACACATTTATGAAACAACCTCACTGATGGAGATGGGTGTTCAACTAAGTAACTCTGGAATGAGTGAAGTCTTTAACAGTAAAGGCAAAAGAAACTGTATTCTATTTGATAAAGTTGTATCCCTCAGGTGTAATGCGTTAACAATTCTGGAACCACTATACATGTATACTGAAATTGAACAATTAAGTGGTAGATGGTGGGAGCCAGATTTTTCAGTTAGACTGGAAGGTTATTGATAAGCAAGCAAAAGAAGCTAGGTCCATGAGGTATGGATTAGAGTCTGCATATGAATTCACTCAGACAAACGTAAATTCATCGGTGTAAACTAACATAGATACAAATGTTTACATGTAGAAAGATGTATAGATACATGTGCATGCACAGGTTAGCATATACACATACATTACCTTGCTCTATCAGCTGAGAAGGCCTGGAAGCAATGATATTCCAGTAGTGATGAGCCCACCTAGTACCCAGATCTTGGTTTCTTTATCATTCTCCAGTAAAAGGAATCAGAGCTCCTTGAAGAAATGGCTGATTCAAGGACTTCAACAGGAATTTGATGAGACTAGAACATCTTTGTAGTGCCAGAAAGAAAGTGTTAAAAAAAAAAGCCCACAATATTGGGGGTCCATTAAAGGGCACAGAAGCCACTGAAAAAGCTCCTAATAGGCAAAGCTGGAATAATTTGAACAACAAAATAAAATAGCATTGGATTATAATTCAAAATATAAAATAAATATTTTTGAGTTCATATTGATATAAATTGATTGAGTAAATTAATAAATTGTGGAGAAGAGATAAATCTTCTATGCAAAATATTTCCAAATAATTTATATAGATCTCTGCCCTCAAGGATGGGGAGCATAACAGCATAACTCTCCACTCCTGAAGTGTGGGCTGAGGATAGAGACTTCCTACTAAAGGATCCAGTATATAAATGGAGAAAAAACTTTTTGGAAGAGAAATCTGACAAACACTACCTCAACAAGGTGAGCAGGGTTAACATCTGCAGCAACAAATCATGTTGATAGTATGTATTCTTGATATGATGTGATGAAAATGACACTTTTCCTCTGTGGTCTTCCTCCCAAAAGCCCATGATGCCAGTTTAATCATGAGAAAAACATCAAATTCTGATAGAAGAACATTCTACAATATACCTCACTAGTACCCTTCAAAACTCTCAAGGCCATCAAAAACAATGAAAAAATCTAATAAACTATCACAACCAAGAGGAGGTTAAGAAGACATGACACTTAAATGTAACATGACAACTTAGATAGGATCCTAAAACAAAAAAAATAGTTAAAAACTAAGAAAATATGAATAAAATATGAATTTTAGTTGATATTAATGTATCAATATTGATTCATTAGCTATAACAAATACACCATACTAATGTAGAATGTTAATAATAGAGGAAAGTGGGTATAGTGTATATGGGAATGCTGTGTACTATCTGTGATTTTTCTGTAAGCTTAAAACTGTTCTAAAAGTTTATCTTTAAGGGCACCTGTGTGGCTCAGTCATTAAGCATCTGCCTTTGGCTCAGGTCATGATCCCAGGGTCCTGGGATCGAGCCCTGTATCACGCTCCCTGCTCCACGGGAAGCCTGCTTCTCTCACTCCCCCTGCTTGTGTTCCCTCTCTTGCTGTGTCTCTCTCTGTCAAATAAATAAAATCTTTTTAAAAAATAAAAAAATAAAAGTTTATCTTTAAAATAATTTGCAACCCAGAATAGGGGCAAATATTTGGAATACCTATATCCAAGAAAGGACTCATATATAGAAAACATAAAGAACAGATTTGTCCAGAATGTATATAAAAAAAGACAACCTGATAAGGAAAAAAGTCAAGTGTATGACTAGGTATTTTACAAAATAAGATGATAAAAATGGCCAATAAGCATATAAAAATGTGCTTGACATCATTAGTCATCAAGAGAAAGTAAATTAAAACTCTAAGAAACCATCTCTCACCCACCTAAATTGTTATAATTTTAAAGACTTACAGTACTGGGTGTTGGTGGGATGGGTATCAACTGGAGGTCATAATTATTGCTGTTAGGAAGGTAAATTAGTACAACTACTTCAGAAAATTAATTGTTATCTATTAAAGCTGAATGTACTTATATCCTAGGCTGAGAATATTCACAACATCCTCAAACTAGAAACAAACCAAATGCCATAAACAAATAGAACGGATAAATAAATGCTGGTGTATTCATATAATGGGATATTTTACAATGAAAAGGGATATTTTATTGCTATATAAACAATATGGATGAATCTCATAGAAATCAACAAAATGAGCCAGGTACAGAAGAGTACCTACTATATGATATCATCTACATAAAGTTCAAAAACTAGGCAAAAAGAATCTGTGGCAATAGAAGTCAGATAAGTGTCATCTGAAGGAGGAGGTAAATTACTTAAGAGGAACATGAGAGAGCTTCTGGGATAATGGCAATACTCTCCCTTGGTTTGGGTAATGACTGCACATGTATATTCACTTTGGAAAAATTAATGATATATATTAGATTTCTGTGTATGCATGTCATATTTCAATAAAATAATTTACAGAAGTGACTACACTGAGATATCATATTTTATCATCACTTTGTCAAAAATTCAAAAGTTTGACAATGTACTATGTTGGTGAGGATGTGAAGAAAGGGGCCTTCCAAGCAGTGTTTGTGGAAATGCTAAATATCACAACCCATATGGAGAATTTGACACTGTTATTGGCTGCATTGTGTCCTCTCAAAATTTATATGGTGAATCCCTAACTCCCAGTACCTTAGAATATGACTATATTTGGAGATAAGGCCTTTAAAAAGGTGATTAAGTTAAAATGATGCCATTAGGGTGGGCCCAAATCCAAAGTGGACACAAATACGTGGGTGCACAAAGGAGAAACCAGGTCAGGACGTGGCCATTTGCAAGCCAAGGAGAATCATCTCACAAGACACCAAACCTGCAACACCTTGATGTTGACTTCTGGCCTCCAGAACTGTGAGGAAGTATATTTCTACTATTGAAACCATCCAGTCTGTGGTATTTTGTTATGGTGGCCCTGGCCATTTAATACACTAATAAGTTATAAGGGTGCCCTAAAAGTCTTAGAAAAGTTTTAAGCTGTATTAACTTCAAAAGCTTACCAAAAAATTTCACCATATGGTATCTTTAATTTTTTGAGGAACATCCATGGCATTTTCCACAGTAGCTGTACCAATTTACATCCCCACCAACAGTGCACGAGGATTACTTTATCTCCACATCCTCACCAACACTTGTTTCTTGTCTTTCTGACTCTAGCCATTCTGTCAGGTGTAAGGTGGCATCTCATTGTGGTTTTGATTTGTATTTTCCTGATGATGAGATGAGTGATGTGAGCATTTTTCATGTGTCTGTTGGCCATCTGGATGTCTTCTTTGGAGAAATGTCTGTTCATGTTTTCTGACCTTTTTTTATTGGATTTTTGTGTGTGTGTTCAGTTATATATGTTCTTTATATAGTTTGGATATTAACCTTTTATCAGATATATCATTTGCAAATATCCTCTCCCATTCAGTAGGTTGCCTTTTAATTTTGCTGATGATTTCCTTTGTTGTGCAAAAGATTTTATTTTTGTGTAGGTCTAATAGCTTATTTTTCCTTTTGTTTCCCTTGCCTTGGGAGACATATCTAGAAAAATGTTGCTACATCCAATGTTAAGGAAATTACTGCCTATGATCTCTTCTAGGAGTTTTATGATTTTAGATCTCACATTTAGGTCTTTAATCCATTTTGAGTTTATTTTTGTGTATGGTATAAGAAGGTGGTCCAGTTTCATTCTTAATTTAAAAATAAAAATACCATATGATCTAATAATTTCACTCCTGGGTATTTATCCAAAGAAAATAAAAACACTAATTCAAAAAGATATATGGACTCTTATATTCATTGTAGCATTATTTATAATAGCCAAGATATGGAAGCTACCCAAGTGTCCATCAGTAGATGAATGTATAAAGAAGATGTGAGATATATATATATCATTATATATACATATTTCATTATATATATTGAAATATTACTCAGCTATAAAAAAGGATAAGATCTTGCCATTTGTGACAATATGGATAGTCCTAGATGATATAATGCTAAGTGAAATAAACCAGACAGAGAAAGACAAATACCATATGATTTCACTTATATGTGAAATCTAAAAAACAAAACAAATGAATAAACAACAAAAGACAGCATGAGACCTATAAATACGGAGACCTGATGGCTGCCAAAGGGGAAGTGGGTGGGGGGATGAGCACAATGGGTGAAGGGGAGTGAGAGATTCCAGTTATGGAATGAATAAGTCATGGGAATAAAGGGTACAGCATAAGAAATACAGTCAATGATATTGTAATAGCATTTTATGATAACAGATTGTAGCTATACTTGTGGTGATCATATCATAATGTATAGAGATGTTGAACTGCAATATTGTGCACCTGAAACTAATGTAACATTGTGTGTCAACTATACTCAAATTTAAAAAGAAATAATTTGAATGTTTATTTATATTTCTTATATACCTATTTATTGTTGTGAATTTTAAGTAGAAGTTATTGTTTACTTTTCAGGCTAATGAATAAGGCAAAAATTAACTAAAAAAATAAAATTAAAAAACTATTTTTCAAAAAAAAACAAAACTATTTTTCCAAACTCACAAAATATGTAAGTAAAATTTAAACAATTGAATTGTCAAATTATATGTTTTTATAGGTGTTTCACATTTATATTTCTGACATTGTATATGCATTTACCCTATGATCCAGCAATCCCACCTCTCTCTATTCCAAAGTTAGACTGACAAAAATATGAAAAGATAAATCCAAGCAGCTTTGTATTTCAGTATTGTTTGTTATAGAGGAAATAGGAATAGAAGCTGGATATTTTAAATTTTACCTTCTTTGGCATATCTTATTTGAAGCTATGTAAATATATATATTTAAAAGTTAAAATTAAATTTTATTTCTTTAAAGATTTATTTATTTATTCTAGAGAGAGAGCATGGGGGTGGGATGTAGGAGAAAGAGAGGGAGAGAGAGAGAGAGTGAATCTGGAGCTGACTCCCCACCAAGTGTGGAGCCCTACAGAGGGCTCAATCCCACGACCCTGAGATCATGACCTGAGCCAAAACCCGAGAGTCTGATACTTAGCCAACAGAGCTACCCAGGCACCCTGAAATTAAATTTTAAAAGAGCAATCCCTAAAAATTGAAAGTAACATAAAAAATATACTGTGTATCCAGCTGATGTAATAATCATACAAAGTGGTACTAATCCCAATAACTTTAAAGCACAGTTACATGACTGTATATCCTTGTATGTATACCCTTAAGAAAAAAATGCAAACAGAAGTTTGTTATAATCATATTAATAACATTTTCAGTGGTAATATTTTTTTGTTTTGTTTTTTGGTGTTTTTTAAAGGTTTTATTTATTCATTTGACAGAGAGAGACACAGCAAGAGAGGGAACACAGCAGGGGGAGTGGGAGAGGGAGAAGCAGGCTCTCCGCAGAGCAGGGAGCCCGATGCGGGGCCGATCCCAGGAGCCTGGGATCATGACCTGAGCTGAAGGCAGACACTTAACGACTGAGCCACCCAGGCGCCCCTTCAGTGGTAATATTTTTATTCTGAGTATTATTTTCTTGCGTTGGATAAAGAAATGCACAATAATGTTGGTGTCAATGAGAACTGGGATATGGGGCACAGTGGAATAAAGGAAATAATGTAACATCAACAAAGTAAAAACCCTATTGTCCTGAATTTGAATTAGAAATGTCTAAATCAATTTATTATTAGATTTTAAATGTCCACTGAAAACACCCGCTGGGATACAATAATCCACGGGCATCTCAGAGTTCTGCACATCTTGTGAGCAGAGGCTTTGACTGTACTTTGTTCCTACTATTATCTTAAGTATATTTGTATAGAAAGCAACCTTGGAAGATGCAGTATCTTCCTCTATAGCAAAGGGCAGACATGCTTATTGTCTATTAGAAAACATCCAGGTTCTCTAAGCTCAGTGTTCTTCTATAATACCCCCACCTCGGGGCGCCTGGGTGGCTCAGTCGTTAAGCGTCTGCCTTCGGCTCAGGTCATGATCCCAGGGTCCTGGGATCGAGCCCCGCGTCGGGCTCCGTGCTCCACGGGAAGCCTGCTTCTCCCTCTCCCACTCCCCCTGCTTGTGTTCCCTCTCTCGCTGTGTCTCTCTCTGTCAAAATAAATAAATAAAATCTTAAAAAAAAAAATACCCCCACCTCATGTTCAAATATCATCTGGCCCTCCCTGTGGAAAATGGGGTTTGAAATACTGATGCAAAAATGCTTATACTCTGGCTACTTTCACTGAGTTAAATAATAAACATTTTTTTATCTTTGACCCGGGAGTCTCTACCAATATCCATGAAACTATGGAAGGAGAATTTATTAACTTACAAGTGGGTAAAATATCAAACCCTTCATAGTTCTTAAAAATGCCTAGAGGGGAGCCTGGGTGGCTCAGTCAAACATCCGACTCTTGATTTTGGCTCAGGTCATGATCTCAGGGCCCAGGGATCCAGCCCTGCATTGGGCTCTGTGCCTTAGCAGGGAGTCTGCTTGAGATTCTTTCCCTCTGCCCCTCCCCCTGCTCATGCTCGCATGGTCAATCTCTCTGTGTCTCTCAAAATTAATAAATAAATCTAAAAAAAAAATGCCTAGAAACTGGATCCTACCTGGAAAGAATAGAATAACCAATTCTGTCACCCAGACTGTGTCTCTAAATACCTTTTCCCACTGCAAGAAACCAGGGATCCTTGGAGAAATGACTTATTCTAGGTTCTGGAGCAAAAAATGTATTAGAATGATCCTGGAAAATCTTAGTATCTCAGAAAAGAAAACAAAATGAAGACATCAAAAAAATCATTAGAATTATGTCAAAAGGACTCAGGAATCAATATGAATGACTTCCCACTGGAACAATTTGAGCATCAGAAAGGATGGTAATTGCAATAAAAGATGACATACAAAATATGTTTAAGTCCATGGGTACATAATAATAATTTTTTTTAAAAAATCTCATTGATACCTTTGAAGTATTCTGAGAAACCAAAACATAATTTTGAAAATTGATAAAGTGAAATAATCCAGCATTTTTCTGCTTCCACTACATGCATTATACCTCAGCATTAGCAAACAGTTAATGAGGGAAAGTTTCTCTTTATATAACTAATCCAACTATTGAATGGATTTTCATGTTACCATTTTACAGTGATCATGATACAAAAAATAAATAACTAGACTTTATGTACCTCCTGGTGGAAGTACGCAGGACCACGTATGAAGTAATTTTGCCAAAATAATTAGACCTAACTATGATGAAGCTTCTAGCTCTAACTACCAATTTACAGGAAATAAGGGCAGAAGAACATGTAAATGATAATACGGGAATGCAATTCGCAAATTTTACAGGTTAAATACCCAAC